GAGCCCTTGACTCTCAGGATGACGTTGCGGACTATGGAGCCCTCGACTCTCAGGATGACGTTGCGGACTATGGAGCCCTCGACTCTCAGGATGACGTTGCGGACTATGGAGTCCTCGACTCTCAGGATGACGTTGCGGACTTGACTCGTCCTCGAAGACTTTAGGTGTGGTCTCTTCAGAGACCGATGAAGCAGGAGACGGGTTCTCCGCAAATGAAGGTCTGGAACTTGCCGCTGGTCGAGAACCAGGGACTTGCGATGCTTGACAGGACGACGCGGTGAACGGTCGTCGCTGCGGGTTGGGCGTGGGCCTCACATCCCGCTGTGATGCTCCTCCTCCGTGAGCTGCATTCGCGTACAAACACTCATGTTTAGCGCCATTCAACACCAGTTGCAACTCGCGGACCGCGTCGATGCCGAGTAACGAACGTCCAGTCTTGGTTACGTAAAACTCCAACGTTGTCCAGCGGTTCTTAAAAATTACTTGTCCCACAAAACATCCAAGTACCGGAATGGTCTCTTGCAAATAGTGGACGAGAGGCGTCGACGGCGGATGTAACTTTATCCTCCGCTGCTTGTTAACTTCGTTAAACATGCGTTCATTTAGGATCGACACACATGAACCGGTATCAACAAGAAGACGAAGAGGGGTCCCATTTACCGTGATCTCGGCCATGAAGGCGTCACGACGCATGCTGCCGCCTTCTCGTCGCTCGGCCGTCCCGACGACCACAGGTTCCTCCGTCAGCCTGACGCTTGGCAGCTCCTCAGGAGACAGCGACTGGCCGACCACGTTCACCCGGCCGGGCCGGTCCCCTCTGAACTGTCTGTCGGCGAAGGTCCGCCGAGTACCACGGCCTTGAACCGGGAACGATGCCTGTCGCCGATCGTAGGTGAAGGCAGCCGCCGGCGGGCGACGACTCTGACACGCCACTGCAAAGTGTCCCCACTTTCCACATAAGAAGCATGTCGCTTGAGACGCCGGGCAAACCGCCCGATCATGACGGCGGCGTCCACAGAAGTAGCAGGCGTCGTCTGCTCCAATCCCACCCGTCCGAGGCGGAGCGGGCTCACGCCCACGCTGAGGCTGGAACACCCTCGCCGGAAAACGGGGCACGTGACCGGAGGCCACCGGAGCCCAAGGAATCCTGGGTCCAAGCTGCGACGGGGGGTAGCCAGGTTGAGGCCAGGGAGGGTAGCCGCTGTAGCCATCTTGCCCATGCTCGATCGAAGAAGACGACGCTTGGCCGCCATCTTGTGTTGCTGCCGTTTGACGTTCCTCGATCTGGACACGCTGGACTTCTGCCGCGACCGGGACTTGCGACTCTCGCCGCCGAAAACTTGCGGCCGTCTTCGCTCTCTGCTCGTACTGGCGAGCGATCTGGATAGCCCGCGACAGCGTTGGCAGCTCGCTGCCCTCGCACTCCTGCAGAACGCGATCCTGAACGCGTCTGGACTCCAGGCCTTCCAAGAAAACCTCGCAAAGTCTTTCATCGAGCGCGTTCCCCAGAGCACAAAACGAAGCCTGATGGCGCAACACGGCAAGAAACTCAGTTACCGACTGGCCAGGACGTTGGAACAAACCGCGCAGCTTCTGGCGTTCAAGCGCGATACTACCCGAAAACTCAAAATGCTTCTCGACTGCCTCCAGAAAAACCTGGAACTCGTCAGTCCCCTCCACCGCAACCGTCTCGTACAGCTGAAATGCATCCACGATGCGCTGGCCCTCAGTGCCCAACAGCGAAAACAGGATGGCTTTTTTTCGGAACGGTTCTACGAGATGCAACGCCGACGCGTCAAGAAAAGTCAGAAAAGCGCGCTTCCATGCCGGCCAAGCTACTATCGGCGGACCGGGCACTGCCAAAAAGACAGCCGGCGGCGGGAACGCCGTTGGGCCGCTCGAAGACGAAGATGACGAAGTCATCTCACGATGAAAATGGAACGTACTGAAAACCTAGGCCTAATGCCTCCCCCCGAAACTCATCAAACGCGGCCTTTCCGCAAAATATGACTACCGTTCACCCGGAACAAAAAGGAATACATTTCATGAATACAGTTACGCGCCGGTTTCCTCAACCACTGACCCGCGACGCGGAGTGAAGCCCCCTCCCGAATCCCGGGTTACAAAAGAGGAAATGCTACATATTAAAACAAATATCCCATCCTCGTCGCCAAAATGTTATATTCTGCACCGACGCGGCGGTGCTCTAAAGCCTGGCTACATTGGACGCAAGCGGCGGTGACTCACGTTCGACGTAGCCGGGAAACTACATGCCCCGAGCGGACCTGGACGGTCGCCGGAGCGAGAAGAAAGGACAACCAACGGATTCAGGAGCGGGGCGAACACTGGCCGATGAGGCCGCAGATCACGCGCGGCTCATGCCGTCGCGTGCTGTCCTTTTTATTTTTACATGGATGCACGAGATGGCTACTTTAAAAAGGAGATGTCAAGTAGCGCCATCTCGTGCAAATCAAAATACTACAGTGACGCACGTTAAAGACCCCGGGCTAGCAGTCGTACTGCACTGGCTAAATTGCTTACCTACAGGTGGTAACAATGTCGCCATGTTCTGGCAGACTAACCTCCTGCTGTATAAACAGCTAACGACAAATTTTACTTTTTGATTATGTTTGACTGCGTTAGTGTAACTTCTCCCGTGCTGCACGAGAAAGAACAAAATGTTCCTTCGGGGGTTAAGTTTTCGGTGAAGTAGGAAGCAAAAAAGAAGAAAAGAGAATATATCCCTCAAGTTGGGCTCGTAGTAGAAGAGGGGGAAGAAGAAAATCAGTTGTTAGTCCCACGGTGTGTATGGTCTTTTCTACGAACTAGCTCAACTTAAGCCTGTTACCGTTGCTTGCTTGGCCTTTCGCTCAGCCAAATCGCTTACATGGGGTGCACTCAAATGAAAACACAATCGTGTTAATTCGTGTAAGAGTATGTAGAATATTTATCGATCACGCCGCTGAACTTGCATCGGTCGAAGAACTTCCTTTTTGTGGGCGCCTTCTCTGCTTGAGTTTGTTGGAAACACAGCCACTTCGATCCGAGGCAATCGATGATAGCGTTGGTCACATCACCAAGTACGTGACTCACAGAGTACTGGAGAACACCAATGTTTTCGTCGCTCCCGACGGTTCCCTGGAAGCCGCCAGCGGCGTAAAAGCGTAGCTGCGAGGACTTGTTGTTCGACCGTCAGCACACGGGGCCCTTCAAGACAACGCTGGAGCTTTCCGCGAAGTTGTCACACAACCAGCGAGTCACCCCTCTGGTCAGTTGGTATTCGCCCACAAACCTCGCATCGCTGGTCTCGAGAGCATCCCGGTGATCTCTAAAAACTCGATCCGCTGGCGAACCCAACAGTAGAGATGCATATGTTAGGGTCGCCATCTTTTACGATGCAGATTGATCTCTGGCTTCGCCTCGACCACTCAGTTAACTGCATCGTCAAAGTGCATCGTGACGACATTTTGACGTCACCGCTAGCTGCATCATTTTACGAGCATAGCTCGAACCGCATATAGGGAAAAACTACATTTCAACGTCATGTCACGTGACCCGAGAGAAAAGCCAATCAGTGACCGATGCAGTTATCTACATCATTCAGTTTGCGTTCCAGCATAGATAGACATACGTTTCTTTATACCCTCATGAGTTTATGTTTCTATGCGCGACGCATTTGAGGGTGTCATGTAAATCCTTTAAATGCTCGGCTTCGGCACGTGCACTCATCTCTATGACAACTTGCTGGATCGCGCTTCCCTGCTCCGCGAATGCGGCCACTAGAGGTTCCGAATCGGTCATCTTGGGCCTTTGTAAATCTGCCGGGTGAAGCGTTGTAGAGGCTGGACGGCTATGTGCTGAAAGACTTTTTTCTTTTTTTTGCACGTTCACCGTCATCCGCCGAAGAAGTGTGTGTGTGTGTGTGTGTGTTTTTAACCCTATGTAAACGGTCGTGGCTGCCTTTGAGATCAGTATCCAAGCGCGTGAAGGCACAGAGACGCAGCACTGCGGTGTGCTAAGGCACGTCCTTTGATCTAGGCGCCTGACCGCGAGACTTCCATTTGACGAGTGCGACGCTCCAAGCTGCTCTGCCCAAGTTGCTTGGGGAACCCAAAGCATTGGGGCCCCCTTATTATAAAACTCTCTAACTAGAGACTTTTTGTAGTTAATCTTTCCTGTCCCGCAACGTCCTTCGCCACCCGCTACGAGCCTCCGGGACTCTGAAGACAAGGCTAGCGCCGCGCATGCGCAGTAGTGGCGTCTTCGTTCCGGAGCGCGTAGCGGAGCTGGGAAATCGGTCTACGAAAACTCCCTATTGAATCTTGGGAAAGTATCGCCCCGTTTTCCGTATGGCCGCTGTTTTTGTCCGTGGAATGAGCAACATTTCCTTGGCCCCTCTATTCTTGGTGATTTGGCCCGAATTCGCGGTGACACATTTTTTTATAAAGGGAACTTTTAAATACCGAAATGGCGACTCCGACAATATCGTCAAGAACAAAACAAAACAAATTAGTCGTTAGTTGTGTATACAGCAGGAGTTTAGTCTGCCAGAACATGGCGACATTGTTACCGACTGTAGATGAGCAATTTAGCCAGTGCGGTACAACCGCTAGCCTGGGGTCTTTAACGTGCACCACGCAGTAGTGATACACGACCGCACGCCGGTACGATGCTCATCCAGATCGACACGGGCAGGGGTGGGTCTCAAGCCCAGGATCCCTGGGTTCTGCAGCGAGAGCTTTCGCTCCACGCGCGTCGAGCTGGGTGTGCGCTTTAGCCCACTCGGCCACCAATCCCCCCTAATATCGTCAAGAAATGGAGTTCCGGTGCTCTAAGCGTCTACCCAGCCGAGGAAGATGACGAGCTGCACTCATCGTCCGAGGAGGCGACGCATTTGTCAGAGATAAGGACAGGTCCGCCGTTTGACGCAGGATGCGGTAAGGACAGGCAGCGTTCAGCCTTGAGCGTGCCTGACCGACCGTCTGCAGCCAAATTCAGCCATGATGGCGCTGGCGGCCCCCTTCTTGCTGCTGTGCCTCGCCGCGCATGGAATGGCGAAATCCGACTCTGAGGAGCAGCCAATGGTAAGACCTAAGGCGCGTCATTACACGTCATAGCGGAGTGCTTAGTTTATCATAACGTGTACTCGGAGCGATCTCTAAATTGTGGTTAGGTAGAAAAGACAACCAAGACGCTGCATAATGTAGGTTGTGACCGCAAATAATGGGCCGCATTCGTATTCACCTCAAGAACCGACGTAAAAAAAAGTCCGTCTCCATGTGGAACGCTACTGATATCCCCCCCCCCCCCCCTAGTGTTGAATTAAGATAAATATAAGTGCATCTTAGATTACCTTTATGTTATTTTATTGCAACGTTCATGTTTCAAGCGCCAAAAAATAGTTCCTTTCGTCGATAACCAAATATTTCAAAAACTACTCCACGCAGCGCATGAAAAATGCACAATATTTTCTTTTTGTTTTTCTTGATATGACAGCGAGTATATAAAATGAAATACATCGCACTCCGAGAATATTTAGCAGATGATATTCACTGTATGCCATACCTGAGCGCGATGTTCGCAATGGATGTTCAGAACAAGCACCTACTTCTGAAAAGGACTACAATCCGAGGTGGATGCAGCGTTGTTGAAGCTAATAATAATCCCGCGCTTAGCAGCAATGGACTCAACTATGGCCGCCAGTGAATACCACTTATATCCTCGGCGCGGATAGGTTTTGCGTAGCTCAAACTTCTGGATGCGTTGCAACCTTTGGTTTTGGCGGTTTGACTTTTCAGCCATATATGTTCCAGCGGGACAAAACTTGCCGTCGGGTGGCCGTAAAGAAAACGATAATTTTTTTGTTAGGCTCGTTAGAAATATTAGGTGCTGCATAAAATCAAGAATTCGCAATAAGCCCCCCTATTGAACTTCGTTTCTTGTTCACGTTCTCCCATAAAAGGCAGGCGAAACACCTAAAGTGCGCACCTGAATATGTATTATTAAAAAGCAGGCGAAATAGCCAAAGTACGGCACAACCGTCTCCTTCCACGGAATAAAATATACCTACTATAAATGGTCACCGATTGTCAATGGACGCATTATCGAACGCAGCGTCTGAAACCAGCTACAGCCACGCAATCATCCGAACGCCGTCTGCTATTGGAGACGTGAGCGATCGAAACCTTCGCTGTGGTCGGCCCACCACAATTGGCCGAATGCTGACCATGACGTCAGCGAAGGATGCCTCATCGACGAAAATACGAGGAATGTAAGAACTTCAATTTTGGCGGTGTTGGCTGTGTTGCTTTGACAGCGCTGTGACTTCAGGCTTCCACCATGTCCGTTACAAACACCATTGAACTTGTTGTTGACAAGGTAATGACGTCACGAAAGGTAACCAAACGAGGGCGCCACCGAAACATCTCGCCGCTAATTTACCCCGTTCACCGTTGAGCTGAGACAAGACGCTCCGCCTTCAGCGCGAGCTTTCTCCCTTGCTAACACAAGTGTGAACGCGCAGGCGCGCCAGACCAAAGTACTGCGGAAGCCAGCGAGCTCGCGTTGGACGCGTGGCTTCTCAGCTTAAAGGTGAACGGAGTTAAACAACGCGGCAACGAGCTTGGGCTCCAAGCTAGACTGCCACATAGAATGCGTCGCTGCGCTTCGCTCGGGGAACGTTTAGTGTAATCTCAGGTTCGAGCGTCCACCACGCCACGTCGGAACCGCCAAGGGTTCGACAGGCGACCGCCTTCCGCTCTCAGCGTCAATAGGGAGTTTTCGTAGACCGCGCGTTTCCTCCTCCGCTAAGCCCTCTGCAACAAAGAAGTTGCTACTGCGCCTGCGCGCCAATACCTTTGACTGTAGAGTTTAAAAAACTCCCTAATATAACGGCGCGTTCGATTTGGCTAGCGTAGCCACGTTCACGTTAGCAGACGACATTCAAAACTTGAATATGGCGTCTGCCATTGCTAGCTTTAGACCACTTTATGATGAGTTTACTTTTACAAAATCCGCTCGCCGCTGGCGGATTTTGGAGCCGGCTGACGAAATTCACTGGTCGTTGCCAGAAAATCTAGAAATGAGACCCCGACCGAACCAGATTTTCAGCCAGTGGTCCTCCTCCGGGAGCGGGACCACTGGGGAGCAGGACCATCGACTACCGCGAAACCCTGTGAATGGTGAGCGAGACCACTGGGGAGCTAGACCAAGTATAGCGCATGTGTGTTGCACACGTGCGCCATAACACTTCCCTCCATCCTACGAAGGAGGCGAGGCGGTGGCTTGGCGCCGCGACCACCGGGGACCAGGACCGCAGGCGCGAAGATGCGCTCCTATGAGATACCAAAAACCTAGAAACGCGTAATCGAAACGCCGTAAAATGCTGCCCCTGCCTTATATCTTTCTAAAATGAGTCGGCTTAGTGGTTTTGAAGGATTCTTAGCAAATTTCTCAGTGCAATTGTACGGTTAGTTCCATTAGCTAAAAACGTGATTATTAAATTTAGTTAATTATCTCGCTAATTAGTATGTTTCGCGATCCTTGACGTAAGTCAAGGCTGGTAAGTTTGTTCCCGCAAAGTATTTCTTTTTATTTCGAACAGCATTTTTTGTAAATTTGTGAAAGCTTTTGCGGAAACAACCTGTACGCCATATATACGCTAGAGGGCGGCGAAGACAGAAGCCTAGAAAACATATGTTCACGCACTCGAACGGAAAACGCCGAACATAACCGGATGCGAGCGAGCAAATATCTGTAAACTGGTTTTCGCCCCAGACATAAAAATCAAGCTGAAACCGTGACATATAGTAGCTTTCGCCATTCGCCTCTCAGGAAGAGATGGCGAATCTACTCATCCAAGATGCTACAATTTTCCTGCGCCGATAGTCTGTCAGCAATGACCACATCTCAACAGCGGGGAACAGGTTGCAAGCGAAGCAGATTCCACGAAGTACCTCACGCATCCAAATTTTTCAGACGTCTTCGTTTGTTAGACCCTTAGAAACGCGAAGTATGAAGGGAGGTACCACACTTAAGAACAGCGATGCCCCGAGCGTTGTCACCGTCATGGTCGCGCAAGCACGCCGAAGGCAACGGTCCATCGGTCAAGGCGCCGAGGAAGATGAAATCACGTGCAGTCACGTGAGCATGAAGCTTCTGAACTCCTTAACCTCACTCTTCCTCTTATACGCCCCCCCCCCCCTCCCCCACTTCCCCCCTTATTTTCTTCAGTTCATGTTGTTGTTGTTTTTTCGAGGAGCAAAATATAAACCCTCGCGTAAGGGTTACAGTGGGTTATACCACGCTTATTACAGGTTACTGTGAAGATGTCACACGTCGGGCTGCCACTGAACTAACCTATAGATCGGCTTTTTCGCTTTCGATTTGGGCCTTGTAACCCATACACTGTTGGCGAGGAGATCAGACTATAGGGGGCGCTGCGTCCAGCTTGTTTTCTCCAAATGTCTGTGTTTACCAACACAAGGATCGTGCACTAAATTTCTTACTTCATCATTCTTGATTGAGCGCGGGACATCGATTGGGCGAAACTCCTGCCAAGTGTTTCCCCCGCGATCAGTCGAGAAAGTTGAAGTAAAAAATTAACGGGTGCCGCGTCCGCGTTCTGCTTCGCCGATTGAACACCAGCCCCAGCCGAACACTGACACAACCTTCGGCTACGTAGGCCGAGCGCTGCGTCAGAACACAAACAAATCACCAATGTCGTTGTTGTGCCCACCGGTGTAGTTCTCAATTTAGTTACTAGGGGTGCGACGCTTAGACCTCCTTCCCAATAGTCTTGACGAAAATAATCTAAATATCAAAACGACTGCCGTTTGGCACATATTTTACAGGTTACGCGGGTTCAGAAGTTACATTATGAGTTACCGAACGGCAAATGCTGTTTAAAACCCAAAACGTCGTTTGATTTCGGCACATGCGCAGTGGTGGGCTCTTATCTTAGAGCGATAGCTGCTATGGGCTATACCTACTACTGGACGATTCAGTGCCACGTAAGACGTTCGTCGTGATGTTGCCAAATACTTCAAAAAGGCCGCCCGCCGCCCGCGCGAATCGCGCCTGTACCGGCTGGGTGCAAAGCGGAGGCGTTATCACTGAGCTGTGTCACTTTTTCTTTTTCTTTATTGCCTGTAATGAGTTACGTTACAGCTTTTTTTGTTTTTAAAGCGCAGCTCTTAGGCGCCCGTTTCCGGCTTGAGCGGCGTCGCCGTCGGCGTAACCAAGGTCACCCCAAGGTCACCCAAGGTCACGCGACCTCCCAGGTCACCCCAAGGTCACGTGACCCCTCCCAAGGCTACGTGACCCCCGAGATCACGTGGCCCCCTCCCCGAGGTCACGTGACCCCCCCCCCCGAAGTCACGCGACCCCCCCCCCCCCCGAGGTCACGTGACCCCCTCCCCCCGAGATCAGGTGACCCCCGGAACATATTAAAGAATGAGGGGAGGAGGAGGGGTCTACCCTCCCCTCAGTCCCCTTCCCTCCTCCTCCTCAAGAGCTGCGCTCCAATTCGGCGTAACAGGGAGTTGTAAACGGCTTTCACTTTTTAGTGTTTTTCCTTACTTACTGAGCTACGCCACAGCGTTGTTAACTCGCTGTGTACTTAGAGTTTTTGTAGTACCCGATCTCTCGAAAGAAACATAGCAGATTATAAAATGCTGTTGTAGCACTGCCAATGGGCACGTTGAGTTTGTGCTCCGGAACGCGAGAGTTTGGCTGTTCATTCACTAAACAGACAGGAGCGCCACCGGAGACTGACACTCGAGCGCGCTCTTCGTACATCGATTGTTTCTCGGAGCGCGATTGACTTCTTCGCGCTTCGTGAGGTCACGTCCAGAAGCAAAATGGCTGCGCTGACGGAAACCGACAGAAGCGTTGGTGAGACGAAGGACGCAATCTTTCGTCTCGACAACGTTTCCACTTTTCAGTTGAATAGCGCTTAATCTGGCCTTAAAAACGCTGCACGTTTTCAGTTGAAGAGTTGAATAGTCAAATAGTTTAATAGCCCTTAATCCAGTCTTGACAAAGATGCCCCTTTTTAGTTGATTAGTGCTTAATCCAGCAGGTAAAAACGATTTGATTTAAAAGCCAAGACAGAAATTAACGTTCGGGAAAAGATTTCTTCGTGCATCTCGCCTAAAAACGAATTGACGTGCCACCTATTGAACGGCGGTGGTGAACATGGCACATCCACGGGTTCCGCCTCGCGCTGCAGGACGAAACCACGAAACATTTCACCAGTTCGAAAGTTTCCTGCGTCGACAAGCGAGTTCAAGAACGTTGTCGTTCATTTAAATCTGACCAGCATGAGTGGTTAATAAATAGATTGGTCAGATGTGCTCGAAGCGAGTCTTCAAACCTTTCATGAATATTAAAACTTACGTAGAAACTTCATAACGTCACCGTCTCTCTTACTTTACACTTTGCCGCTCCACAGAGGCCTTAATTCATTTCTCCTCGAAATTACCTCGGCTTCTGCCACCGTACCTCGGCAAACCTCACTTACGAGGGCCCTCGCACACCCTCCCTCACCCTCATTTTGACAGGTAAAGTGAGAGTGAGTGAGTTTCTGAACCATGAAAATGCATGAGTGTGCGGGCCGTGAGGGCCGTGAGGGCTGTGAGGGCTGTGAAGACCGTCAGTGCGTTAAGAGTATGAGTGCGTGAGGGCCGTGAGGGCGGTGAATGCGTGAGGGGCGTGAGCGCCATGAGTGTGTAAGGGGCGTGAGGGCTGTGAGGTTCAGTGAGGGTGAGTGAAGGGCTGAAGGTGAGTGGTGACTGTGAGGATGAGGGTCAGTGATGGACTGAGGATGAGTGTAGCTGTGAGGGTGAGTGAGGGGCTGAAGTGATTGTTGCTCTGAGGGTAAGGGTGAGTGAGGGCGACCTAAAATGTCGACCTCTGCCTGCAACCCGTATTCACGAGATTCCGGGATTGTCATAACCGTGCGGTCGGAAGGAGCTCATACGGCTTGTCAATAGTATCGGTGTGCCGCGCTTCTGTACGCCAGAACCGCATATAAAGAGAGCTTGGTCAATGGGAGGTGCGGGGAAAGCCAAGGAATGCATCACACGCAGATAGAGGGCTGAACATACTTCCCCGGTCAACCAGAAGCCGAAAATAATCTCCTCGCGGCGGTAGCGAGAAAACGTTTAAATAAGTGCGTAAGAGTTAAATGTAGTAACTCTTCATGGTTCCAAATAGGGTGCACCTGGTGTTTCGATTATCATATAGCAAAACGATGTAAGAAACGAGTGTGCCGCTGGAACGTTTTTTGTTCGGGTGGAGTATAACCGCTTGAAAGGCAGATTCTAGACCCTCGGCGCCTGGCGCATGGATTACGTCGATCGTTCTGCTAGTCGCGCACACTTTTTATATCTTCTATATTTTTATACATATGTTCCACCTTGATTTTGCATGACCGTTATCGAAACATCACGTGCACAATACTTCCAGTCACCGAGAGTTACTCCGACGCACTTATTAATTCTGTTTCTCGCGATCATCGCCAGGGTGTCATTGGCGGCTTCTGGTTGGCAACATTCGAATTTGTGAAGACTCCCTGGAACGCGCCCGGCCCGCTTTCGGCCAATGGCGCATCCCCATTTGCCTCCCATATTTCCCGATGAATGGCCAGACTCTCTCTATATACGACTCTGCTGTGCGCCATGCGCCGTTTAGTTGCCGAGCTCGGAGTATGAAACTCGGAGTAGGAGTAAAGGAGCGCGGTCTTAACGCGTCAAGTGCCTAGAGCTCGTGCTGTGAGACGCGCTCATGACCTCAGGAACAAACAAAAAAAAGCGTTCAGAACAAATTTTTCAGATGTCTATTCTGTGTCGAACGCTTTCATTCGCGCACCAAACGGTGCGTGAACGCGACGCCGATGTACAACGACTTGTCTGTGACTTATTTCAGCTATCGATCTAACTATAATGTGGATTAACACGGGACTGCTCAATGTTTATTGGCCTTCAATTGATTTAGGGCCCCCCAACATGAAACAATGAAGTAGTTACAAAAATTAACATAGGGTCAGGTGGGTAAATGTAGTCCTAAAGTTTAAGCGCCAAATATTTTTTGATGAATCTCTCGGACCAACAAGAGGATGGTTTTTGTGTGGCCATTAAACAATGGGTGCTGTTTGTCGCGCTGGAAGTACGAAACACAATTGTGAGTGTGTGTGTGTGTGTGATACCGAAGCATTTTATCTTTCTGGTATTACTGTGGAATCCATGGAGCATAGACCAGGACACGAGACGACATTCCTGCACGGCTAAGATCCATCACACAGCAGCGTATATGCCTGCATCTGCCCTCGTTTGATATCTGCGCTTCGTGCGTCGCGGGTCAAGCCGTGGCACGATGCCTCAGTACGATGCACGATGTCCCAATAACTCGCAGTGACATCTTGACGCAAACCTTTGCAATGTAGTCAAGCGTGGTAGAGCCGTACTGTGTGAATAGGTTCACCCTACTTCGGTATTGGTGTATCTTGACATTTTGCCAAAGTTTCGATCGTTTGTTCCCTGCAAACTCACGAGGGTGTTCATGTAGTTGGCGCAGCCTTATAACAATGGCTGGGAGTAACGAATTACACATTAGAGTCGTGTTGCCTAGGAAGTAACAAAAAAAAACACGAAACAAACAGGAGGCTCTCTAAGATGCATACTTTGAATATTAAAAGTTTTTCTTTGTATTCTCTTAATTAGACGGAGTTCATTATATGTACAGGTTATGTCTGTGTATGCTGCACCAATGTCCAAACAATAAACAATGTTGCCGGTGTTGTTGGAAACACCTTCAAAAAGGGAACTTTTTGGAATTCTGCAGTGTAACACCACGGTTGTCACTCTGAGGATTCCATGAGGCTTCAATTGAACGAAGTCTCAACTAAAGAGAAAATTAAGTGTCCCCCCCCCCCCCCCCCCCAAAAAAAAAAAAAAACACTTTGCACAATATTTACGCCGCGGCACGCAATTTAGTTGGAGGTATACCCCGGTCAAGCCCCACGTATTAGTACTAGATTGGCTTAGCGGCTCGCCCGAACACTGTACCCAAGCCCAATATCTCCCGGTTAAGACCCACGGGGCATCTAGTCAGCCGTACGCGACTCGTGCGAGCAGGGGCGCTACGGAGTCTACTAACGTCTCTAAACCTCGTGCGGACGTTGCAGCGACGCTGAAGTGGCCACAAGACTCGACCATTAAAAACAGCAGGGTAGCGTCCCATCATACACGAGCTACAGTCTGCTTTCAGCCAAGTCGCCAACTGTTATATGTCGACATCCTATGAGTACCGAAACAACGGTCACGATCACGACGTGTGGTGTCCTGCACAGAACAGTGGGGCCATTTTATATTGATAGACATGTTAAATTTATCGTGAAGCACGCGCACTCAAACAAATCGACCTAGATTAAGAAATATAGTTCAGGTAGAACGGTAAAGAGCTACGCCAACCGGTATGCGAAAATGTGCACCCGTGGTACAACGCTTCATAAAGTGTGTACTTGATACACTTGTTTGCTGCAAACTACGCCAGATGACGATACCTTACTTTAAATATCTCGGTGAACACAAGACTACTCGCGTCGTAAAAAAATAGACAAGCAAAGCGGACGACTATAAGTACGGCTTGCAAATGACGGCAGCAATGTTTCTTTCGGTTTGAAACGGAAACGAAAGTGACGGTCTTGTGATAGTTTTAGACATAATAATATATTTATCGAAGCTTTCTTTTTGTTTATTTCTTGCGATGACGTCGAAAATAAGCCGACTGTCATGGGAGCATCGTGTTGGAGCACTAGAACATCTCAACACTCGGCGCATGCGGACAGTCGTAGGGGGTTCGCGCCGCAAGAGTTTGGCAGTTATACAGCTCTTCCACTGTGCTAGTCCACGGCATGCAACGCAGCTTCACAAAATCCAATTTAGATTTGTCAGGAATGCAACTATGCAAAAGTTATTTTGGTAGTTCCGTGTTCATTTAATTATGGAGCTCGGAGCGCCTCTCTGGCTGGTGTGTTTAACTCATCCTCAAAGGGGGTCTCTCAATTTTTCGCCTGGTGACGTCGTAAAAGTGTCATGCTCTTGCCTACAGTGATTTTGGCGGAAGGCACAGCAGCGGAGGCGAATACGGCTAGGCATGTCCCGCTGCAGGGCGCGCTCTGCAGGCAGATAGGACGCCGCGACACCAGCGACCCTGGCGTCCCTCTCCTTTTTTGCCAGCATTTCTACGGCCAACCGCCAGGATCGCGACGTCCGACAGCGTGACGCGCCGGCTCATGCGACGTAATTTGTTGCCACGCATGTCGACGGATTGCATGGGTGGGAGAGGACTGTAAATGTGCCAGGCGTAGATGCGTTCCAGACAACACACGTCAGTGCAATGCGGAGGGCAAGTCCGTCTGCTTCTTGCACAGGGGTTGCGATGATGCCAAAACGCCGAGCACTAGTTGGCTGATTGAAAACAACATAATGGGCAGACCTCAAGGCATCTAGCATCGAGATTTACCCACCATCCTTTCGATCGAAGCCAATCAGAGCTCGACGTCGCTCTGACGTCACCATAACTCCTGCGCCAGAAGCAGACGACTTGCTCTCCGCATTCTATTGTCATTTATCTCTACATTTTTCTTCACAGGTGAACTTGACAGTCTTCTACGATCCATACGACTACAAATCCCTCGCCTTCTTCAGAGAACAGCTGAAGCCCGCGTACGAGAAGCTGTGGGAAAACGTGCTCGTCGAGCTGGTCCCGTACGGCAGAGCGCAGACGAGAGAGGCCACTGCGGACGAACCCCTCAGTTTCGTCTGCTCCGAAGGAACGGGGAACTGTATGGAAAACATCATCCACAGCTGCGCCATTTCCCTCATCCCAAGCACGGAAGACCTGCTCATGTTTGTCATTTGCCTCTTGTGGCCTAGGATATCGGAAGGTTACGAAAATACAGTGAGGGAGTGCGCGCGCGACATTCCCGGCATGGATCTACAGGATATACTGGACTGCTCCAGTTCGTCCCAGGGGCAGATGTTCCTACAGCAGATGGGTGCCCGAATGGCGGAAATGGACGCCCCCGTGACCGAGTTGCCCAGTGTAGCCCTGGACGGGAAGATGGTGAAGACTCAGTTTCATCTTTGGAGAAGTCTCAAGACCGAGGTCTGCGGTCACTTTAAGCACAAAGTGCCCCAACAGTGCAAGTACTTTTCGATGCAACGTCTTTTGGGGAGGAAATGGTCTTCGCAGACTCGGAAGCCAGGAATTAGGTCGATACTGGATGACTCTTGTAGGTGATGAATTCGAGTGCTTCCGGGTCGAAATCAACTACTATTTATCTATTAATTTTAATATAAAAGCTCAACTTTTAAAAAGCTATCGGAGTTCACTTCCACGCAAGGCACGAATACATCCAATCACTGCCGACAATAGAACGATACCAGCTTATGACAAAGCTCAAAATAGTAGACAAAAAAAGTATTTGCGCAGGGGCAGCAATGATAATATTTATTTCATTTTCTCGTTGTTCTTGTGCACATCACCTCTTTCGGGTACGATATTACTCTCAGCTTCGCCTTACTTTGTGATTCTTTTATTGTCCACAGCGATCGGGTGCCTTCATGTTCTGCGCGAAAGTAAGCTCATTATTCTATTTTAGAGTGTAGATGACATTCCTGATATGAGAAGCTGCGAATTATCAATGCAGAACAACAGACGAGCGATAGAATTTTGTTGCAAAATATTAGTAAAGGCCTATTTTAATTGACCTTTATTAATGCGCACGTGAGAAGATATTTTGGTTATGTGGACGTTGAAGTAAAGACGGTGGAAATCTAACCATGTTTCGTGGAAACAAGTATGTCGATCCTATAGCTATATGTTTTGCGCGTGTAAAGGAGTCACGGCAAAATGCAAAATTTGCCGTTATCGTTTTTTTTTTTGTTTTGTTTTGTTTTGTTTTTATTTCAAGAATGAATTTGAAAATCATATCTTTTTGTAAAAATTAAAATATTGACCCAAAATTATGCTTAAATTGAGATGAAAACATCCAGATACGTTTTACACTTTGATAGCACTATTGTATGCATGCGCAAAGGCGCGGCGAAGTATAGTTATATGAGATATCGGAGCGATCTACTCAAACTACCTAACTTAGTTCGCACCACAAGTAACAAAATGTGACATCATAGTCCTCCATTCACACTTAAGATGACAATGAAATGTGTGGGACCCCGGCGAAAAAAAAAATATATAAAGGCACACTTTTTATCTCCAATGTGGGGTATGGTGTAAAAGGTAAACGTCTGATTGGTCTTACAAGCACGTAGCTTTCACTTGTGGAAATAAAAAGCCTATCTTTTTTTTTTTTTTTTTTTTTTTTTTTTTTTACCCAGAGCCTACACATTTCACTGTCATCTTGAAGGGGGGGGGGGGGGGGGTGCAACGATTTTTAGATTAAAAAAATTTGCATCTCGTCAATTTCACGTCGTTCATCGTGTCCCAGAGGATAGAGAAAACATCCCCTTCATTAAAAAAATTCACGATTCCGCTGCATAATAGCAAAGCAGAGGTCGAGCTTTTTTCGGTGTTGTACACGTTCCTCAAAAAGAGGAACGGAAGCTCGTTCCTTGTTGCCCTTGATTTTTGGAACGCGTTCCGGTTACAAGTTCCATCTGCGAGGGAGGAACTCGTTCCCGTTACAATTTTAAAAAAAATTGAACATAGCGTTACATATACGTTACATATTCAACTTACATTTGTATTTTGCTAATTACCATATTTACTTAGATCAAACCAAGTTTGTTTGTTTTTTATCTATCCTATTAAATAGTAACATACGAATTTGAATGCCGTGATGGAAGGACACCAGGAGAAGAAAACAAGCGAAAGCAAGTTTTCATTTGTTGATAAATTCACTTTTCAAAATATCACCGTTTTGCCAGATTCATGTTTGTGGTGGGCTATGCAGACGAGCCAAACGAACTGTTGCCCCACATTGCACGAGCGTTTTACAACAACCTCACACGCTTTAATCTAACAAACTCCCGTGTTCGAACTCATCAACATTTGCTTCTCGATGTTACTGCCCGCAAGACGAGCAAGTGGAGAAGAGAGTAGGACTTCCGATACGTCAGTCTTGAAAACCATCAGTCCCTCTTCGTGAAGGTTGAATTCGTTGTCCGGCTTGAAGGTGGGAGAATAGGAGAGAGAATGAAAGTTAATTCTTGTACATCTGGCCAATGTTTGGGGTACAAGGGTGCGTTTGATGTCTTGTAACGTGATCTTTTGGTGTAACTAGGTTTTTTTGTATAAGTTCAGTGATGGCTGCAGTCGGCCTGAGATTTCCGGGTGTATGAGGCTTCGTGGAAGCGAAGACAGTAGCTGAGCTTGAGACGTCCCTTTTCCTGTTTTTTCATTCGACTAAATGTTTTGATTGCTGTACCTCAGTCTCAAGCACTGAAAAGAGAATCAATGCTCACTAGCTCCCCTGAACCCTACTGTTACCAAATGAGGACCCCACAAAATGAACTCCATGTAAAAAAAGACTTAACGAGGTCCTGCTATTCGTAAAGATACTGCTTCAGTACGTTTTTAGAATTGCCCTTTTAAAAATAAAATAAAAATGACCCCACTGGACGAAGAAAAAGGAACGCCGTTCCTAGTTTCGTTCCCGTAAACATGTAACGAGTTCCCGTTCCAATTCCACCTATGCCAAAGGAAACGGCGGCGTTCCTTCGTTTCTCCTAAAAGGGACGCGTTCCAGGAACGCCGTTCCATACAACACTGGCTTTTTCCCCCACCTGCAGCCACGAATGGCAGCCGAAGGAACAACGACGAGAAGCTTACGTGACCTCGCTCGGCTTTAAGCTGCAGCATAACGCCCCCTAATGTCAGCAGAGAGAGAGAGCACACGGGAACCTACACGGCACCCCGAATTATCTCCCTAGGAGGGGGACCAGGTGTGACCCTGAAGGCTGGGAGTGAGTTGAGGGGGGCCAGAAATGTCAATATTCATCCCTTTTTTTTTCACACAACAGCTAGGTCACGCAGGCTAAATTGGTTTTCTGTTCTTTAATTTAGGAGTGTCAGAGGGCAACTTCCACAAATTTTGACCGAAGTCCGGAAATTGTTGCACCCCCCCCCCCCCCCCCCTTTAAGCGTGAATGAGGGACTATGACGTCAATTTCGTTACGTGTGCTAGCGCACACCGGCCGCTGCTGCCTCGTGGAAAAATTGTACGCCACTTATTATAGCCACTGAAAAGTTTGGTTCGGTATCTTTTTAAACATTAAAGTGCAACCCTACCCCTGGTTAATGTCATTTTGAACCAACAGATGGCGATGGTATCGCCTTCAAAACCTGTGCCTAAGAGCAATAAATTCTGTGCGGTGGCGTATCGATGCAGTGTGGTATTCTTTATTTTTTTTTTTCTCAAATTAACAATGCTGGTCGTTCACTTGCATAGAGTTATTATAATCTACGCTCGAGGTTCAACTGGTGCTAGTGTCTATGCGACATCTGTGACGGAAATTGAAGCCGACAGCAACCAGTCTACTTTTGCAGTGCTCTTGTGCATTCCTATGGAAAAACGGGCGTGCATTTTGTCACTTCGCCGGAAAATAACACGGATAACTTTTGTTATTTAGGTCGTACCGAATTAATAGTGTGTACCTTGATTAACATTGTAAAAGTGTAATTGCTTTAGTTAACGCATTTTTCCTTATCAGTGAACGATGTTTAACTTCGCTACATTTCAGACCCAAACCTGTGTTACACAGCGGGTGTGTAAAAACGAGCGATGATTCTAAGCAAAATAATAATCGAAAGGAATATGGAAGGTGTTCAAGGCTCGCCAGCATTCCGGTGGCGCTTATATATTGCTAATATGCCAATCCTGGCGCTATATGAAATTGACCCCGCCTTGTATCTCTTCTTTGCGATAGGCTAAAGACATTCAGAAAGTAAAGAATGAAGACCTGGCAACGTCTGACTACTTGAGCGCCCTATGCGAAATTACCGAGGCTCGTTACACCGCAAAACTTCGCGTGAATAATGTGACATGTGGCGATTCATTCCGCGTGGACGCCGCAGAATGTACGCTAAAGCCGGATTCACACGGTGAGGTTCTGCTCGCTATTTTCAGTCGCGACGACGCTCGGGCTGCAAAAGCGTGAACCGTAGCTGAGATGGTTGACGTGGATACTGAAAATCACAATCAGATTCGGACCAAGTGAATCGGGCATAACAGTTGGTGAAGGCCGCTGGTAACAATGATCAACATCTCCTTGTATCTACTGTTTACATCGAGCCTCCTTACCAACCTTCAAACTGAAGGATCTTCTACTGATAACTGTTATTATAACTGTGAATCATTTAATAAACTGAAACAACGCGCAACCTTGATGAACAAATCAAACATATCTCTGTTTCCTTTAAATGCGAGAAGTATTAAAAATAATAGTGATGAGATTGAAATATTTTGAAGTTCACAAACTCATAACTTTGATATTTCGGCATTCACGGAGACGTGGTTTACAGGAAACTGTGATGTTATTAGACAGTTTTAGTGGATCGTACGCTATAGTTTCGCGTACGCAAGGAACTTGCGGGTCGTGAGCACGCATGCGCAGAACGCAATAGAAGGGCTAGCGTGTTGCGTACGCACGCAACGCTGGGGATCTTGCGTTGCGGGCTAACGGGCTTTCCGGGAACATCTCGAGATACCTCGGGCCCAACGAGAGCGCCAGTTTCAAGATGGCGGTTACCTCGACTGGCGCAGCAAGGACGACGTGGTGTTCTCGAAGTTCAATGTTACGTTAAATTGCGTGGTATTCTGCTCGGTAATTCTTTCCGGGACCTACCGCGGTCGAATCAGATCGCCGTGCAGCTGAAGGAGTGCACAGTGAAAATGTTCACCGCTCGCAATGTGCGTCAACGCTGCGATCTGCTCAACGCTTAGGCTATTCGTACAATTCATCGCCGACGGACGAACGATTCTTCAAGAAATCGCCGAAGTGGTCGCTACGCGCTGGATATCAGTAGGTCATGGATTTCATTGCGCGAAAACATTAATGAAAGGTGCCGTTTCCACGGGACCATTGACGGGGGCTCCGTGATCGAATTAGGCTACGCACTCGTACTCGAAGCCTCCCTATACCCCGCAGAAAAGCGCGCTTGACGAGGCAGCTGCCGCTTCGTTTAATTTGAAATAAAAGATTAGACATGTTATCGTTTTCAATATTTCTTCTGAGAAGCATGGAGATGAGAAGCACGCGGAATGCTACGGCTCGTGCAAA